TAAGGAAGCGCAAAAGATTTTTCTTATAAGCGCATCTCGTACCCCATGAAGTGCTTTAAAAGGTGGAGATTTTTCTTTTGCACAAATATGCAGTGTAAAATGCCATGATGACACTTCTGACTTTAGATATCTGGTGGAGAACTGAAAAGTAATGAGTATGCAAGAGAAACTACTAATACTACTACTAATACTAATACTACTACTACTAATAAATTGCATTAAATTAAAGAGGGGTAAAAACCAGAAAAGCGTCGATGCCGCTTTGCGCAGTGACAGATGGAACGGTAAACCATATAACCAGTAAATGTTATAAAGCAGACGAGAAGGAGTTCTAAAAAAGGTGAAAATTGATATTTATATTTAAGAAACTTTATCATATTATGAATGCTCTATTTGTAATATTACTATTATTTTAATATTTTTAATATTGAACACTATATGAAAGTATCTGCTTTAGTTTTCAACTATTATATTCTTAAATCTTTTATATATATATATATATATATATATATATATATATATATATATATATATATATATATATATATGACTTAAATGTTTACTTTTGCCGGAAGTAGTTTAAGCGTTAATATGACAGTTCCCGAGACATATATGAATACCACACATTAATATATATATATATATATATATATATATATATATATATATATGTGTGTGTGAAAAATATATAGAAAATAGGAAAGAACTCGTTCCCCAAAAATAAAATCTCGCTTGAAGATGCAACAGAGCTTAGTACTTTAATTCAATTTAATTCATTAATTATATTGAAGTTTTTCCTTTGTTTTGAAACATAAGAACTCTTATGTAGCGTGTTGGAATCATATTTTAAATAAATAATATATATATATATATATATATATATATATATATATATATATATATATGTGTGATGGACCCGTTTTTTGCCGAGATTTCGTCATTGATGCCCTATTTATTTTTCGCCTTTGATAACTGTTAAAGCTACTTTGAGATCCACACACTATTCCACATATAGGACAAAGAAACAGCACCCTTTGTGAAGGCTTCAGAAATATTAGAGCGGGTGTTTAATGTTCTGCTTTGCAATATGCAGACGTTCAACTTATGACCTCTCAAATCATAAGCAAATGCAAGAACAATAAATTTGCATCACGCTGAATATATTTCAATTTCGTACAGTAATGTAGTAATATGACAGTAAATGAACATAGTTACATATAAATAGGTGCACATTGGTGTAAAATGAGGGTGTGTGGATCAGCGGTACTCCTTTGGGTGTTAACACAAACGTGTGGCCTCGCATGCATTCTGTCATACGAATTATGAATTACATCCGGCGATGCATTATTTTGCATTCCTTTCACCTGTTGACGGACAACGTGGCGGGAAAAGAAATTTGGCAAAAAGTAAGCATGTCTGTACCCCTGTGCGCAAGATTACCCTGGGATTAGTGTTGATATTACTTAAGTTACGTTTGCTCTTATCTAGACTGTGGAAGCTGGGATATCTACTACCGCTGCCTTTCGAGAGCGTCAAGCTTGGCTAAAGTTTGTAGTACGCGGCCAAACGGAAGTTGGTCTACGGATCGAGGGATGTTCATATCTGTCGTCCTGCTGCAAGTAAACAATCACCAGGGATTAGTGTCGACATTACTCAGGGTACATTTGCTCTGGTCTACCAATGTAAAAATATTGGCATGAACACGGTAACCAGCATCGATAGACCACTGATGCGTCAAGCTCAACACGCGCAGCAATTCCCTGAAATGACCAGCCAGCCTCTCGATGCAACATCTTCCAATCTCTTTCAAATTGTGCTCCGATTGTGTATACCTAAGTATCATGACTCTTTCACAGAAGCTTGTGGCAACATATCATAGAATATGTAACCATCTAAAGCTAAGGCAGAAACAGTCACAAAATAGCTGAGGTCTTTGAAATTCTTATCAGAATCTACTACCCATACACATGCGTGCGCACACACACATATATACATCCATATAGATATATGTATATATATACATATACACGCAGACATATATATATACCCCCCACACATATATATATATATATATATACACACACACATATATATATATATATATGTGTGCGTGTGTATATAAATTCATAAGTTCTAATATATCCTCCACTGATCCCATTAAAAAATAAAACTAATTATGAACTATACTAAATTTAATACAACCAACTTGACGCATGTTTATTGAATAATTGGGCATATTATGTCTATTTTATTTTAATCATCTCAGATTCACGGATCATTTTCTTAATGTTGATATTAAATTCATTAAGAAGTTTTTTTTATTATTTCTTTTATTTTCCTCATCAGCAATAACTTACCCGTCAACTAAGGTTTTGCAAAAGTCCAACATTGTATATAAATTTAAATGTCCTTTAATGGATTGTATCTCTGACAAAAAAGTAAATATGGGTTGGTTTCACAACAACATTATCGAGAAGACTTACACTACGTATGTCAGATTCAAGTTCCGTAGCACTACATTTAAAGGAACATTCATGCCCACATTCACAATTTAGCGAAACATTAATTGACAATACAAGTATATTCCACCATGAAAAAAAACTTCATATTCTTGAAGCCCTCTATATAAAAAAATACAACCAACAGTAAATATGGTTAGATATGAGCATAGCAACAATGTTTTAAAATTTCTATAATAGCAACGTTTTTTTAAATACTTAAATTGTATTTAAAAATTGTAATAATATAAATTTAAGTTACCTCCCTTAGATAAAATGTTATAAAAACACAAATTTTGAAATTAATTCTAACGGAGCAAGTTTCATGAGCATTCCCAACTATCAATTACATTAATTACATTACATTAATTACATTAATTCTTTGTCTTAGAAATTCACTTCTGAAGATAATCATGGATGAGATCAAAAGTAGTTGGGAAAATAAAAAAAAAAAACTGCTTAATGAATTTAATATCAACATTAAGAAAATGATCCGTGAATCTGAGATGATTAAAATAAAAATAGACATAATATGTCCAATTATTCAACAAACATGCGTGAATGAAGATATGCTATATATATATATATATATATATATATATATATATATATATATATATATATATATATGAAAATTTCTCCGATTTAACCAGTAGAGAAGACAATATTTATGAATAAAAATGACAATAGGAAAACTGGTAATTGCTTTGACGCGTTTCGTCCAATGTGGACTTTATCAAAGCAAAATTTTTTTTTTCGTATTTTGCTTTGATAAAGTCCACATTGGACGAAACGCGTCAGCAATTACCAGTTTTCCTATTGTCATTTTTATTCATATATATATATATATATATATAATGAAATGAATTTAGTCCTACAATATGTGTGTGTGTTTTTGTGTGTGTATGTAGGCATGGTGGCGTAATGTATAGCGATTGACGAATCGGAGAGCAGAGTTCGAATTCCAGTCGAGTTTGTTACATTCACATAAGTGCAAATATTGTTGGGAAATTTAATCCATCTATTCCCCCAGCTATGGGTAAAAGAACAACTGGGTCCCATAGTCTTGGGTGATAACTACACCAGGAGAAGTAAAACTCTTAATTCAGAATCTGAGAAAGATCTTTTGGGTCCCTTGCGGCATTCTGTGGACCAGTTCTCTGTATTTGGATCTTTCAAAATAGTAGTTGGTTCTGCACAAGTCTTCAACACTATAATCAAATCTTATGGGTCGTCTGGCTGTTTGGTTCTAAGAATTGAGCTCCTGGAATCTCATACATCGAAGAACGACTGGAGAGACTTTCATATATGTCTCCTGTCGATTTCGAGGTATGAGAGGCGAATAGTACAGGTCATCAATAAAATGATAGACTACTCTCAGATATGAATTAATTATATTGGTAAGGGTCGTGCGGAACTAGCAATATTTTCCGAAGGAGTTGAAAAAAAAAGAACTTTATCGTCATTGAATTTAAAGCCAAGGGAGAGTACATGCTTTTAAGCATAAACCACATCAGAAAAGATATGTTCCAAATTCATGTTTCTTTCTATTAGACTGGCTGCCAGCCAATGCAAGTGTGCCGTGTTATTTAATCCAACGACATTAATGTGAATTATACGAAACACTTCCGACCAGAAATTGAGTTCGCCTGATCGGTTAAATATATCTGCATTTATGTAAATATATTTTATTACTTCGAGCGTTATTTTTTAGTAGATAACCGTGTTTGAGTAGACGCTCTGTATTTTAAAAAAGTGTGTAATACGTCTATCAGCGCTTGCACACTCAAGGAAAATTAATAGAAAAAAATGTGGTCACCGGTGGTATTTGTATAGGGGGGGGGGAAACCTGTCGCGCTTCCGACCGCTCGGTCACGGAGCGCGTCAAAACCCAGCAAGTATCTATTTACCCTTTTAAGGCATACATATCTCCTTGTTCAGATCTCGAAAGCCCATATCCGTTCGATATCGTATCCGAAATATTAAGCAAATTCTAAAGAATTAATGGAGTTTTATTTTTAATCTGATATTTGTATTACCGCAAAGGTTATTTTTAGTGGATACTCTTGTTAGAGTAGAGGCAGTTTCGAACCATGTCAAAGACCATATTTTCTTGAATGCAAAGGCCTGTAGACATAATACACACTTTAGAAAACGAGGCGTCTACTCAACTACAAGTATCCACAAAAATAACGTTTGAAGTAATAGAAAATGACCTATTAATAAAAAAAATCCTTTAATTCTTTAGAAATACAAACATGCATGAGTTTTACTCAGATATACATAAGCTAAGCACATATATTTACTTGTGTATATGCGTAATGAGTTTATATAGAGATATGCATGTGTATTGTGGTCTCTGGGCTGGAGTAGAAGTAAATACGATTGTAAAGTGTGCCTCGCCCTGCAAATGAATCTTTGTATTTTTTCTAAGACATTTGCCGTCCATTTACCCAATTGTAATGAAGATGCTGTTTTCTAATTTAACTCAGAACAGCGCCA